GGAGAAAGATGAGGCTTTCTACTCCCGTAAAGATTTACACCCTCGGGAAACCCTATACAGGGTCGCTATGGGTCGGAACCGACTCTATGGCACATAACAACAACAACAACAAAGGAGATCTGGTATTGTAGTGGTTACGAATCGGACTACAAACCTTAAGGTCAGCAGTTCGAAACTACCAGCCGCTTCATGGGAGAAAGATGAGGTTTTCTACTCCCGTCAAGATTTACAGCCTTGGAAACCCTGTACAGTGTCGCTATGGGTCGGAATCAACTCGACAGCACTTAACAACAACAACACAACAACCAAGTGCTCTAAGGAGCTCTGGTAGCCTAGTGGTTGCGAAACGGGCTGCGAACCTTAAGGTCAGCAGTTCGAAATTACCAACTATTTCGTGGGAGAAAGATGAGATGTTCTGCTCCCGTAAAGATTTACAGCCTCGGAAACCCTGTACAGGGTCGCTATGGGTCGGAACTGACTCCGTGGCATATAACAACAACAACAACCAAGTACTCTGGAGTCTTGGTGTGGCACTGCAGGATAATCCACCAGACTGCAAAGCCATTTGAACTGCAAGATTGGCTGTTCAAGCTCACCCACCAGCTGCTCCTCGGAAGCCCTTCACAGGGTCGCTATGGGTAGGGATTGACTCTACGGCACTTAACAACAACGACAACCAAGTGGTCTGGGAGTCCTGCTGTGGCACTGTGGGTTAATGGCCTGGACTGCAAAGTCATTTTGAATTGTAAGGTTGGTAGTTCAAGCTCACCAGTCGCTCCTCAGAAACCCTATATAGAGTTGCTATGTGTCAAAACTGACTTGCTGGCACTTAAAAACAACAACAACAACAACAACCAAGCACTCTGGGAGTCCTGGTGTGGCACTGCAAGTTAATGCGTTGTACTGAAAAGCCGTTTGAACTGCAATGTTAGTGGTTCAAGCTCACCAGCTAGCTGCTCCTTGGAAACCCTATGCAGTATTGCTATGGGTCGAAACAAACTCAATAACACTTAACAAAACAACCAAGTACTCTTGAACCAATTCCTTTCTTTCACTCTTTCTTTTACTCTTTGGGTCAGACACCCTCTATGGATCCTTATACATTCCTTCCCAGAAACTACTCCATGAGGAGGGTACTTATTCTTCAAACTCTTTTCCCTTTTAAAAAATATTGTAGCAAAATATATATGACACAACATCCTCCAACTCAATAATTCTTCTGTGCAAGAGAGTGACTTAGTCTTGGTGGAGTGAAACTCTGTATGCTAAAATGGATGATGAAATCAAGGCTCAAAGGGATGAAACAACCTGCCTGAAATCACACAGCTAGTTGGTAGCAGAGCTGAGTTTTAAATCCACCTGTGTCCTGGACTTAGTGTGTACCTTCTCTTTGGTCATAGAAACCAGAATCCAGGACTTGCACAGGAAATACAAATACATTCACACAGTTCTGAACTGAGGGGATTTATGTGCATGTGTTTGCTTGTAGATGGGGGACAGGAGGTAATGGATGTACTGAGAGAGACTGGCTGGGAAGAGAGATCCTTCTTGAATCGATAAATAGTGGAAAATTTGTCCTTGGGGAATACTGTGATACTAGACCAGAGCCCACAAGTTAGAGCCAGAGCCAATAATCCTTAAGAGAGGAATTGAACAAGAAGACCTTTGAGGACTCCCTGCCAGAGAGGTTGAAGGTCAGCTGCCTGAACAGATCTCCTGATTATAGAGGCGAGAACTCTTTTCTGATCCCAGCCTGTGTGTCTCTGTCTTCTGAAGACATGTGGCTCTACCTGATGGGACTCATAGGTCTGTACTACCTTCTACGCTGGTACCGAGAGAGACAGGTGGTGAGCAACCTTCGAGACAAGTACATCTTCATCACGGGCTGTGACTCGGGCTTTGGGAACCTGCTGGCCAGGCAGCTGGACCTGCGAGGTCTGAGGGTGCTGGCTGGGTGTTTGACGGAGCAGGGAGCTGAGCAGCTGAGAAACCAGACATCAAACAGACTGGAGACAGTGATTCTGGATGTCACCCAGACAGAGAACATCAGTACAGTCACCCAGTGGGTGAAGGAACGTGTGGGGGATAGAGGTACTATCCATATTCCTGTTTGTGTTGGCTTGTTCTTTCTGTGTGAATGGGAGAGCATTCTCCTGCTGCCTGGGTAGACGCCTAAGGTGTATTTCAGGTTGAATTAATACTTGTTCATCTCACCCACCATACCAGCCTGAACACCTTGTCTTTTTCACTCTGTCTTCTCCCATCTATCTCAATTTTGGAGCTCTGTAGTTGTGGTGAGCTTATGCCAGAATCAACTAGACAATATATAGCAACAAAAATAACAATCTTCTTTTACTTTACTCCATATCTAATGCCAGCGAGTTGGTTCCAACTCATGGTGACCCATGTGTTACAGAGTAGATCTCTTCTGCAGGGTTTCCATGGTTGTTAGCTTTTACTAAGACTGTGTTACTTATTTGAACAGCACTATATGATTTGACATTTGAAAATTTCCCTACATTTCCTTGTCACAAATCTCTTTTTTAACTAAATCTTTAATCTCTATAAACATGTATACTGATTGGGTCCTTAGAAAGAAAATATCTGGGCAGAAGCTTTGTATTTCTATAAGGGAGGACATGTTTCTGAGTAGCGGAGGAACTCATTTCTCTGGACCAATATTTACAGAGTCAGCAGCCACCACACCTGTGCTAACTCAGTCTAAACCTGCTCTTGCTGCTCTGAGGTAGGTTGGTTGTTAACTCAGTTTATTCAAAGTCCTTGGGTTGTATGTTTTCTCTCCTGAGTATTTTCCACAGAGGTTTCCCAAAAGCTGGGTACTCTGGGAATAGAGAGAGATAAGATGAGCATCACCATCTGGACGTAGGGAGGAGAGGGTGGCGTTTTCTGAACACTGAGATGTGTGTGAGCGTGTCTGATTCTGGGACTTCCTAGCACTAAGTACAAAGTTTGCTTCCTGAATGGATATTGCTCAGTATTAATACAAGTGCCTTCAAGGGAAGTCTTCTGATGTCAAATGCAAGACTGTGCTCCCCGCATACTGAGATTCCAGGTCTCTCTTTTCCAACCAAGCTGTGCCCAGATATTAGCTTTGTACTTTTTTTTTCTTATCTCTTTTTCACATGTTCTCTTCCCTCTTCATTCTTGCTCTTTTCCTGTTTCTCTCATTTCTTCAATGTGAGTACTGAGCACTCGCTATAAAGGTGTCCATAACTATATGAAAATGTGGTGGTGGTGGTGTGCCGTGGAGTTGGTTCTGACTCATAGTGATCCTGTACAGGGTTTCCAAGGCTATAAATCTTTACAGGAGCAAAAGCCTCTTCTTTCTCCCATGGAATAGCTGGTAGTTTCAAACTGCTGACCCTGAGGTTCACAGCCCGATTCGTAACCACTATGCTAACAGAGTTCCTTAGGAAATGTAGTTGAATATATATACTCTGATTAATGTTAAAAAACTGAACATTATTATCTGTGTTTCTAGACTAATGGACACAGTTTGTTTTTTTAATGTCAGTTCGTGCATTCATCAAATATGAAGGAATTACCCATTATCTACCAGAGACTTCATTTCTATTCAAAACGAAAAGAGGAAGAAGACACTGTCTTACAATAGTTTACAGGTTCTGAACCCCACCCCACATCCTGTAAATACTATGTGGTTATTTATTTTACCCTACGCCCCACATTGAACATCTATTTCAATCTTTTCATTAAATAGAGATGTGAATTTGGACCACAACTGTGTATGTTGTTGTTGTTAGGTGCCATCGAGTTGGCAATGACTCATAGCAACTTTATGCACAGCAGAACGAAACACTGCCTGATCCTGGGCCTACCTCACTACTGTTGCCACATTTGAGTCCATCGATGTTGCCACTTGGCCAATCCATCTTATGTATACATAACTGAAAATGAGCTCACAATATCTTTTTCCTAACTTCTCACTCTTGCCAGGTCTCTGGGGTTTGGTGAATAATGCTGGCATCGCTTTACCCTTAGCCCCCAATGAGTGGATGACCAAACAGGACTTTATGAAGATATTGGACGTGAACCTGCTGGGGGTGATCGAGGTGACTCTGAGTCTGCTACCCTTAGTGAGGAAAGCAAAAGGTCGCGTGGTCAATGTTGCCAGTATCATGGGCAGACTGTCCCTTTTGGGCGGAGGCTACTGCATCTCCAAGTATGGCGTAGAGGCCTTCTCAGACTCCCTCAGGTATGGGACTTCAACCATGGCCTCTCCCCAGCCCTCCTGCTTCTGTTCTTCTGTGGGAACCTTTTCCTGGGGGTTAATTTAGACCTCTCCTGAGAGACCTTTCTCTTGCTTAGTTGATCATTCTTAGGTAACCACCTTTTAATGTTCTTTGTGGAAGGAGAGTTCCTAGGACATAGAGTTTAGTAAAACCTACTGCAGCTCACTTGTGTGCATTCCGAAGAATGGTGACTCAATGGAATGTGAAAATCACTGAATAGTATCAGTCTCACAAGCAAGTAAAATTTTACTGAAGTTAATAAAAAACAGTTGCAGCAATATATTGGCAGGGACATGAAGAAATTCAAGGTGGTTTCTGAATAGGACATAGAATGAAGGATATCATTGCTGATGTCAGATGGATCTTGGCTAAAAGCAGAAAATACCAGAAAGATGTTTATTGTTGTTATTAGGTGTGACCTGTACACAACAGCATCAAACACCGCCGAGTCCTGTGCCAGTCTCATAATTGTTGTTACACTTGAGTCAGTGCAAATCCATTTCATTTAGGTCTTCCTCTTCTTCACTGACTCTCCACTTAACCAAACATAATGTCCGTCTCTAGGGACTAGTATCTCCTAATAACGTGTCCAAAGTATGAGAGATGAAGTCTCCTCCTCCTGGCTTTTTAGGAGTATTCTGGCTATACTTCTTCCAATAAAGATTTGTTTGTTCTTCTGGTAGTCCATGGTACTTCCAATATTCTTCTCCAACACTATAACTCAAATGCACAAATTCTTCTACTGCCTTCCTTATTCATTGTACAACTTTCACATGCATAAGAGGCAATTAAAAATCCTCTGGCTTGTGCCAGGAGCACCTTAGTCCTCAAAGTGACATCTTTGCTCTTGAACACTTTCAAGAAGTTTTGCATAGCAACCTTGCCCAATGCAGTGCATCATTTGGTTTACTGACTGCTGCTTTTCCTATGAGTGTTGATTATAGAGCCAAGCAAAATGACATCTTTGACAATTTCAATCTTTTCTCTGTTTATCATGATGTTATGTATTGGTCCAGTAGTGAGGATTTGTTTTCTTTACATTGAGGTGCAACCTATACTGAAGGCTATGGCCTTTGATCTTCATCAATAATTATTTTAAGTCCTTTTGGCTTTCAGCAAGCAAGGTTGTAGGTATCATTTGCATATCATCAGTTAATGAGTCTTCCTCCAATCCTGCAGTCATGTTACTCTTCATATAATTCAGTTTCTCTGACTACTTGCTCAGCTTACAAACTGAATAAATGTGGTAAAAGGATACAGCCTTGGTGCACACCTTTTCTGATTTTAAACTATCCAGTATCACCTTGTTTTGTCCCAACAACTGCCTCTTGGTCTATCTGCAGGTTCCTTACGAGCACAATTGAGTGTTCTGTAATTCCCATTCTTCATAATATTATCCATAGTTTATCATGGTCTACACAGTGAAATGCCTTTGCATATTCAATAAAGCACAAGTAAAAAGATCTATCTTGAAATATAATGCTGTCTGTGATAGGATAGAATCCATGTACCTACAAGGAAAACCAATTAATACCACCATTATTCAAATTTAAGAACCAACCCCTAAAGCCAATGGTGATAAAACTAAAGCATTCTGTAAACATCTTCACTCTGAAATTGATCAAACATGCAATCAAGATGTATTGGTCATCACTGTTGACTGGAATGTGAATGTTGGAAACAGAGAAAGGATCAGCAGTTGGAAAATATGCCTCAGAGTTGTATCTTGTATCCTTTCACCATACTTACTCAGTCTGTATGCTGAGAGACTGAAGAAGAGCATGTCATCAGAATTGGAGGAAGAATCATTAACAATAGTATGCAGATGACATAAACTTGCTTGCTGAAAGTTGAAGAGGACTTGAAATACTTATGAAGATCCAAGACTACAGCCTTCAGTATGGATTGCACCTCATTATAAAGAAAACAAAAATCCTCACAACTGGACCAATAAATAACATCATGATAAATGGAGACAAGATTGAAGTTGTCAAAGACTTCATTTTACTTGGATTCGCAATCAATGCTCATGTAAGCAGCAATCAAAGAATTAAACAAAATATTGCTTTAGGCAAATGTGCTGCAAATGACCTCATTAAAGTGTTAAAGAGCAAAAATGCCACTTTGAAGACTAAGGTGCACCTAACCCAAGCCTTGGTATTTTCATTTGCCTCATATTCAAATGAAAGTTGGACAATGAACAAGGAAGACCATTGAAGAATTGATGCATTTGAATTATGGTGTTGGCAAAGAATACTGAAAGCACCATGGAGTGAGTGCCAGAAGAATAAACCAGTCTGTCTTGGAAGAAGTAGAGCCAGAATGCTCCTTAGAATCAAGGACAGCAAGACTTTGCCTCTTGTTCTTTTGACATATAGTTAGGCAGGACAGGTCCCTGAAGAAGGACATCATACTTGGAAAAGTGGAGGGTCAATGAAAAAGTGGGAAGACCCACAACAAGATAGACTGATACAGTGGCAGCAGCAATGGGCTCAAGCATAGCTCTAATTGTGAGGATGGCGAAGGACAAGAGAGTGTTTCATTCTGTTGTGCATAGGGTCACTATGTATTGGAACCACTTTGATGGCACCTAACAGCTCCTGTTTGTCGTACTGTGGTAGCTTGTGAGTTGCTGTGATTCTGGAAGCTATGCCACTGGTATTTTAAATACCAGCAGGATCACCTGTGCTCGACAGGTTTCAGATGAGCTTCCAGACGAAGACAGACTAGGAAGAAGAAGTGACAAACTACTTCCAAATATTTAGTCAATGAAAACCTTATGACTATCAGAGAAACACTGTCAGATATAGTGCCAGAAAATGAGTCCCTCAGGTTGGAAGGAATTCAAAATGCAACTGGGGAAGAGCTGTCTCCTCAAAGCAGAGTTGACCATGATGACGCGAATGGAGTAAAGTCTGTGGGAGTAAAACCCTTGGGACCTTCATTTGCTAATGGGGCACAACTCAAAATGAAGAGAAACAGCTGTAAACATCCATTAATAATCAGAACATGGAATGTACAAAGTATGAATTTAGGAAAATTGGATATTGTAAAAAATGAAATGGAACTCATAAACATCGATATCTCAGGCATTAGTGAGCTGCTATGGACTTGTATTGGCCATTTTGAATCTAACAAACACATGGTTTACTACGCCAGGAATGACAAATTGAAAAGGAATGGTGTAGCATTCATTGTCAAAAAGAACATATCCAGATCAGTCATGAGGTACAATGCTGTCTGTGATAGGACAACATCCATGCGCCTATAGGGAAGCCCAGTTAATACC